TAAGATTTTATATGATAGACATTTTATAAGACTAAAAAAAATTAATATCTTTATAGGTGTGTATATTTGAATGAACTATAAGAGAATAAGATGATCCATATAGGTATAGGGATATGTATGTTTGAGTGGATTAAAAGATATTGAAAGAGTTTACATAGGTATGATGTACGAATGTGTATGGATATGCATTTGTTTTGGTTAAGAATCTTTATAGGACTAGAAAAAATTGAGAAAATTTTGGGTATTAATTATTGAATGAGGTTATATGATTTGTATATTTGTAATTCTCTATAACTAGTGGATCTTATTTTTCATCTGTAGATATTTGTTAGTTGAATCGAATTACGTTAAATTATTATTTTTTATGTGATTGATTGATTAATTATTTGATTATACTTTCACTAACGTGAATGTTAGATTAGATTAGAGCTTTTTGCCCTAACAAGTGGTATCCCTAATAAGTGGTATTAGAGTTATAGTGATATCCAATAAGTGATACCAAGCTGAGAGTTCAAGATAATAGCTGAAGTTTTCAAAATATAAAAAGAGGCAAGCCTAAAAAAGCTTGTTTCAAGGGAAGAGTTCGAGTTTATATTTTAAAAATCGATTTGCATGAAGCGTGAAGATATACATAGAAGATTGTCATGAGACTTTCATTGTAAGTTGAGGTAAGTACATCTAACATGAAGATCGATAATTAATGAAATTTGAGTTAAAGTGGAGATTATTGAGAATAGTGACTTAAATCTCATAAGTAATTTGTTTAAGATTAGTTAAATATTGCTTGATAAATAAAAAGACTTACAGAAAAAGAATTATAAAAAAAAAAGATTCTTAATAGATAAGTTTGACTTATAAAAAAATGATTTTAAGAGAAAAGTGATTCTTAATAAGTAAGTTTATATGCTTATAAATTGATGTAGTCTTTATAAGGTTAGGTATGAGAAAAAATATAAGACAGTTGTAAGATTTTATAGGATGTACACCCTATATGACTATAAGAGATTAACATCCTTATGAGTGTGTATATTTGGGTGGAATAAAGAAGGATGAGATGATCCACCTAAGGATAGTGGTGTGTATATTTAAGTGGACTATATGAAATTGAGAGAGTCCACATAAGTATGATACATGTGTGCATATGAGCATATATTTATTTTAGTTAAAAATACTCAATATGATTAAAAAAGATTGAAATAGTCTATTGATTGTTTAGTGAGATTGATATGATTTGTATATTTATAATTCACTACAACTAGTGGACTTATTTCTCATTCGTAGATGTAGGTCTATGAGACTGAATCATATTAAATTACTATCTCTTGTGTCATTGATTAATTAATTATTTGATTATGTTTTTGTTGACGTGAATATTTGATTGGATTGGGATATTTTACCTTAACAAGTGATATCAAAACTATGATGATCCCTAACAAGTGATGTTAAAGCTATGGTGATCTTTAACACACATAACCATTTATCCATGCAATCCACAATGAACCAGTTTATGTGAATAGCGATCATCGGTGCTTCAACATATATGCTTAATTCCAAGTTACAAGGTTTTTTAACCTAAATCCACCTTCTGGCCTTAGATTGCAAATGATTTGCCATTTGATTCTAGCTTCATTAGCTAAGTTTGATTGCCTTATTTAAAAATAGCTTAAGTATAATTGCACAATCCTTTTTATAACCTTTTAGGGAAAAACAAAATGCATGTTTCAATAATTATGGACACTATATATAATTGATTGGATTAATTGAAGTTTGCTTGCAGAAAACAAGTGATTTGTTGCCTAACCATTGATCCTTGCAGTAATCTTCTCGATTAATGGGTACAATATTTGATTGTTAACCTAAAAGTGCCAAAAGAACCTAAAGATATCTGATAAGAAGAGTACCGAGTGTAAACCTCATCTCTTGCAAGATTTCGATTAATTTCCTTCTCTGGACCCCTACATTGAACATTTCACTCTAGCATTATTAAGTTATAGACTTAAGAATGAGTAGATTAGCTGTAGGATGCTCTGTATACTTGTGATTGAACTTTTATTCCCCTTTGTGAAAATTAACAAATCATATGTTAAAATATAAATGTGTCTGCCTTATTTTTTTGCACTTTGGATGGTAAGAAAAGATTCTATAATTGGTAGCGATGTCCAATAGCCTTGATAACACATTCATGGCAATTACAGGCAGGTATTGTGAGGGTCACCCTGCTTGACTCCTCTTGCTTCTAAAAAGGAACCTCACAAGCCTTCATTCATTACTAATGAGAACCTTTGAGTTGTCAAACAGTATTACACCCTACCAATGAACTTCATTGGATATCCTATGGCCAATTGTACAGATATGAGAAACTCCTAACTGAAAGAGTCAAATAACTTTTTCAAATAAATCTTAACCCTACCTTGAGTCTTTTAAGCTTTCTATGTAGTCTTACCATAAGTGTACCATATACTAGTTGTTTCTAAGAATCCTCAACCAATTTTAAGAAATTCGGGTGTTTCGTCTAGAAGTGAAAAATTTTGAAAGGCTTTAGTGGATCTTGCTTTAGCACATTGATCCTAAGAAAGGCTGGGCAATAATCTAAAACTTCAAGAGGTAGGAATTCCATAGTAGAATTCATTATCTGTGTCAATCAGGTATCATTATTGAGCACCTTATCCAACTTTTTTAAAAAGTTTAATTATTTCCCTAGGTAAAAAAAAGACCAATGTACAAGTGATTCAAGATTGTCAAGTCATGTATGCAGTCTCAGAATTCTTGGGTACCCACACTTGCAACCTGACCACCATCATAATCTTACCTTTCTAATAGTTCAGCTATAACATTACAGTTACTTGCCAAAAACCATGGACGGTTCAAGTTGGTTCCATGAAGGGAATAGAGATGCCTTTATAACCCTTTTTTTCTTAACTTTTGTATTGTACCCATATATAGTAGTAAGACGGATCTCTATTGTTGCATGATAAATAGTCATATAATGCTTTGATCAGTGGCTTCCAGCATGTCTACTCTCATTTCAAATTTTCAGAGTATCCAAATTCTATCATTATATGTGAAAGAATAGTTATAGAGATGGGATCACCAAAGAAATGATTACTTAAAATATGCTACATATTTTCTTCTTTAACTCTTGTTTCTAACAAGTAAGCTACATCTACTTTCAGTGTTTTAAGTCTACCAGTTATCTCCTTCAGTTTTAAAAGGCCATTAAGCCCTTTGACATTCCAAATGAGTATATTCATGAAGAAGTGGAGAGTGAGTGACCTTTTAAGGTAGTGCAATTTGCCTTAACTTAAACTTTTCTTTTATCAATTGGCCCTTTTCTTCCTATTTTTCAATTATTTCATCAAATGTGCAACCCTTGCTACAACCACTCAAGGGTTCTTTAGAAAGTAGTATACTAGCTCATCCCTATGGGCTTGTTTGCTATATGTTCCAACACCTTTTTCTTCCCTTTCAATAGTATCAAATCTATTTGTGGAACTAGATCTTGCTTACCTTTTTGTGCTCCATTTTTTACTGTCCTTCCCAAAACCATTCACCCTCTCGATGTTCTCCATAGTAGATTTATCGCATGACGTCTTCTTTGGCTGCTATACTTTAATTGTAGCTAGCTCAATCTTTTGAATGCTATCATAGTGCCTAAAAACCTTATACTATTGATATTATTGAAAAGTTTATTTTTCTATTTATTTAAATTTAATTTAATAATTAACACAATTATTTTTTGATATTATAAGGGTTTTTTTTATCAAATCTAAGAAAAGTAAAAAGCAATTTTCAAGCTAAAAGAAGATAAGGATTTTTTTTTATCAAATCTCAATGCATATTTGTATTTTTTTTAACAATATAGGTTTAGTAAATTAATAGTAAAACTTTTTACTAACCGATTTCATATCATCTATTATTTTTTAATATAATATTAATTATCATCGGTAAATATAACTTTCATAATTTATGAGTGAATCTTATTCTTGTGAATGATGGCTGAATTGATGATAAGTATTTTAAAAAGTAATGAGTCAGAACCCAACATATAAAAAAAAATTATCTTTTCTTTATTATAAAATTATATAAGATTCTTTACTTTGTATTTAACATTTTTTTTCTATCTAATCTACTTGTGCCACGCTGCGAGATTTTTAATTATTTAAAAGGTATAATTTTGTTTGGATTAATATTAAAAATACAGATGATTTTTATTTTTTGTCAAATGATTAGTAATTGTGTATTACTAAAAGTTTAAAGAATTTACAAAAATAAGAAATTGATATGCCCAGGTGCCCCCAATTTTTTGCCCATACGTTTACGAGCGTGTAGGGCATGGTTGATTGTTTTCAGACCATGCTGCATGCCCACAGCCCCACTCACCGACGGTGGTGTCATTAGATCTCGAGGTCTGGTGTCTCAACTACACCGCTGCGAGATCCTCGTCTGTACACGAGATGCAGATCGGGGCATGTAGCCGAAGACACGTCTAAATATTCAATATCATGTGCTGACACGTTTGAAGGGGCAAAATTTTCCCTTCTCCTGTCAACATGACACGTTTAGATTTCCTCTGTTTTCCCGGATTTAAGCCTCCAAAATAAAAAATTCAAAATTTTAGAGATGATAATTATTTTATTCTAATTTTTTAAAATTAATTTAATTTTTTAATTCAAAATTTAATAAATATATTTAATATTTAAATATAAATAAAATCAAATAAAAAATTAATTCAAACCACAACCCTATTTCTCATCCATTACCAAATCTCATTAAAAGAAAAAGAAACAAAATTTCTTTTTAATAAAACGAAGAAAGCACGTTCGATGTACCATACTTCGTAGGAATAGGATCCATCTATATATCATTTATTAGGCCGAAAAGAAATAAAAAAGCAACATATTAATTTCATAATAAATAAACAAAATATTTTTGTACAAAAAAGAAAAAACAAATCTCTTTTTGATTTTTTAAAGGTTTTTACTAATCCTTTCTTTTTACAGTTTTCTAGTAAGGGCTACTGTTGTATCCAAATATATGTTGAGAAGATTTGTCTAGTAAACTCGAGAGAAAGCTACGAGAAGCATAAGGATAAGGAGAAGGAGAAGAAAAGGAACAAAGTGCTTTTGGCTTTTTGTTACGGAGAAGAAAACTGTAACGCAGGTACACTTTTGATTTTAAAAACGCCATTTCACTTCCTCTTTCTTGTTTGAGTTTTTGTTTTCGTTATACGATGAAAATACGCTCATGGTTGCCGGTTGGATGGCTGAAGGCTGGGCCTCGCCGGTCGGTTTGTCTTCTTCTTCTCTTGTTTTTTTAATAAGTTATACGAAGCGGTTTTTGGTGCATAAATCAAAGATTGCCTTTGTTATTGACGACGAGTTTTCCTTTTACCGTATTTATTTATATTATTAGTTTTTTAAATGAGAAAAAAAGAAATAAAAAAGAAATTGATTGGAGTGTGAGCTTGCGTTGGTTTTCTCGTGAGTGGTTTTTCCGAGAAAAACACGAGTTGGGTGGAGTCCTGTAAAATTATTTTTTAATCCTCACTAATCACTGTGTTTTTCCAAGTTAAAGTCAAAAGAAAAGGGCCATTGCTTGTTGAAAGTGAAAGCGAACCGCTACTTTAGTTGGTGGAGGTTTTCCAAATTATTAATACTCCTTTTGGAACATAGGAGAAATAATTTTTCTCTAATCTCCTTGATTTTTGTTATTTGAAAACCAAACCAATTCTCGAAGAAAAGATAATATTACTAGTATTTTACAGACCGAAAATTACTGAAAGAGAAAAATCCTTCCTATAATCTCTCCATTTTGTCTTTGTGTGAAGAAGAAAAAGGAAAAAAAAAGAAAAAAAAATATTAAGGGAGACGAATCGGTAAATCAAAGAGGCGTGAGCTTGAAAAGAGAAAAAAAGTTTGATATTGTTAGTTCAATGGTGAATGAGAAATAATCGTAACAGTGAGCAATAGAGAGTGACGGTGCCATCTCTCCTGCGACACACAGAGTGATGAGTAGCATATTCAAAGGGTCGCCGTATCGGCGGCCGAATGACGTGGAGGCAGGAAGCAGCCGCTCCGCCCAGTCCGACGACGAAGACCATGAGTTTAGCGGTGGTCCTTTTGACATCACCAGCACTAAGAATGCTCCCCTCGACCGCCTCCGCCGTTGGAGAGTAATGCCCTAATTTCTCTCTCTTTTATGTTTTATAAATAAATAATAAATATCTTTTATTCGATATATTCATTGCTTTGTTAAGTTATGCCGAATTTTAGTTTATGTCTTTTGATTTTGATGGTGTTGGGTTGCTAATTTTAGGCGGATGGAGACTAGATTAACACATTATATTGAACTGCGTAAACTTCCTTTATGCCAGGGTTTAATAGTGCAATGATGTTTTTAGGGGCAAATGAATCAAGAGGGAAACTAAACTGCTATTTTCTTATTGATTTTGCTTACCTCCGTCCTCAAATTTTTTTCACCTCTTCCTTTTTTGTCGTTTTTTCTCTTTCAATTTTAAAATTTTTAATTTGGTCTTTGCCATTCTGTTCAAGCCATAGAAGTATAGATTTGTCTCACCTGTCTTGAATCATAGAGCAATGTTCTAATTGTTTTGCTGGCTTACTCCGGTCTTGTTGCTTTTTTCTACTTGTCTTGACGAGACAATTGTTTTACGTTACTGTTCAATTCAAAATTTCCTAAAACTAAAATGAAGTAGAGACTGACAATGGAAATTATTTTCTAAAAGTAAACAGGCCCTAACAATTGGGACATCCTCCCTAAATTGTCCTGGCTTCAAATAAATGAATAAAATAAAAACACCTCTAACAACTAACAGTGTGTTTTGCCCCTCTCCACTGCACTGCACCTCTTACATCTAATTTAACTTACAGCTTTGTCAAAATAAACAATCAACGTGATATTCTAGCTGGCACAATCCTGCACTAGTAAACTTACTGACTGCAATTTTGCGTTTCCATCTGATGATGTAAGTTCTATAATTTACTTTCTTTGGCATTATTGAGGGTTTGTGATTCCTTTGCTTTCTGCTTTTGAGGTTTGCACTCCTTTACTGCTGATTTGATGTTTTGTGTGCTTGAATTTTGCCTTGTGTTAATGTTTGCACTTATGAATTGTATGCATGCCTTGTCAAATATATTTAGCTGTTCTAAATTTGATTTCTCAGTCCTTTTAGAATAAGGTTGAGGTTTATTTGCTAGTTTTTACTTTTTTCCCCTTTTAGGAAAATTCCATGAACCATATGTTTTTGGATAAGAATAATTCTTTTCGCATAAAACAGTATTTATTTTAAAATTATATTCCTTAATATCAAACCCTCCAAGTTTCTAGTGACCTTGTGACTTGGTGGTTTGAGCGTAGTTGCTTTTCCTATTATTTATATTGTGGGTGTTGTGAGTTGCAAAGCTGACCCGAACCTGAATAAACTGCCCAAAGCTGAACCCGACCAACCCAGTCTAATCAAGAATAGTCAACAACCCAAATCCACCCAATCTGAACCTGAAATGACCTAAACACCTGAAGTAACTTGAACTCAAAAATTATCCAAATGACTAATCCAAAAAGGACTTGAAATTAAATTGATTTGATCTTAAAACTCAATAATTTGGACCGGAAATAATCCAAATATGATAATCCTAACCTGAATAACTGAGTGCCAAACCCAAAAAAACCTGAACCTGAAATGATCCAGACCTAACATGACTGAAACTGGAATGACTTGAATTTTCTTCAACCTGAAGTGATCCAACCCAAACCCAGCTCAACCCACCCATTTGACCCTTTAGGTGTCACACCTAGTTTGTTTTTCCTCCTCTCTATGATATATTCGGGCTTCTCTTATTTTCCTTACTACTGAGAAGTTGATAATTCTCGTAGGTGCTGAATAGTATTTGACAATAAATTATCTTTTGTAGCAAGCTGCACTAGTGCTTAATGCTTCTCGTCGATTCAGATACACCTTAGACTTGAAAAAGGAGGAAGAGAAGAAACAGATTTTAAGGAAGATCAGAGCACATGCACAAGCCATACGAGTATGTTATCCTTGATTTTAGTATTATCTTATGGGATCAAGGTTGTATCCTTTTCCTCTAATTTTCTGTTTTTGGCCATGTTAGGCTGCATATCTTTTCAAACAAGCTGGGGAACGAGTAAATGGTAACTTATTCTGATTATTGTATGCTTAGCTTTGTAGAATGAGTTTTTAAGTATAATGCTTATATTTTACTTTTTCAGTTTGATATTCAATTCTTTGTATCTTTCCCTTGTGTTTGGCAGGTTCATTCAATTAAGATTTGGCTATATGTTGGCATTACTCTTTACTGCCTTGCTTTATCTCAATTGTTTTTTCAAACTGCATGATCTTTTTCTTCTTTTGCTTTGACCTTGTTTTATTATTTGTTCTGGATTTTTTTTCTTTTTTGGATTTTTCTTTGGAGGCCTTAGATATTTCTCATTATAGTAGTTATTGTAAATTTTCATTCTCAAGATTTTGGTTCAAATGTTGTTCAACCAAGTGTTTATTATGTCCTGTCCAATCTTAGGTGTCATTTGATAAACTGAAAAAATTCATCACTGAAAATAATTAGTTCTAAGAATTTTTAAGTACTGAATTGTTACTCTAAAAATATTTGGTATCCTACTGAAAATTAATTATTGAATAGATGTCTTGTTGACTTTTTATCAAGTATTTTACATTAACAAAAGTTAAAAAAAAGGAAAATTAAATAGTTCAAAAGGAAATAGTAAGGTTAATGTAATTAAATGGCAAAATTTTCCTTGAATAAGAATGATTGAATACATGAAGTAGCTTTTTACTAAATATTTTCAACATTTTTCATTGAAAATCTTCCATTAATTTTTTTTTTTTTAAAACAAGTTATCAACTGCATTGAAAATTTTCAATGCTTTATCAAACACACTTTTTATATCTTTGTAGTTTTGTGCATTATATAGTTTATCTATAGGATTTTTCCCTACTAGTTTAAAAATAGGACTGAGACTGTATAGCTTCTAAGATTGTATAGCTTCTTTTTCTATTATTTTCTTTGGCTCTTGTTTTCATTCATTATGGGTTAATATAGGTAGGCATATTGTTACCTTAATTGTTGTTACCTTCTAGAATCATGACATAAGCATGCCCTAGATTGTGGTTCTTTTCATTTCAGGATGTTTTCATGATAAAATTAGGAATCCAGATAGGTGGACTAAGTAGAATCAAAGATAGATTAGAATAACTGAGAAAAGAAAGAAAGAGAGGCATGAGGAACTAGTGAAGAGTGTAAGGGAAAGAGATAGGATTTGACTGGGAAAAGCAAGATGTCATTTGGTCCAAAAAAGAAAAAGGAATTTAGACAGCCAAAAAGTTCAATATAATATATAATAATGGCTAATTAGCGTAAAATAGGGGCACATGTTGACTCTTCTGTTGATATTGTGTGTTAACTGGGTTTCAGGCTCATTAATTTCTATGTTGCTCCACTTAACGTATGCTTCATCCCCGATATTTCTCTTTAGTATTCTTTCATATAGTTAGCAAACCAAATTACGCAGCTGATTGGGCCTTTCTTTATCCCAAATACTTCCAATCAGTGCCTCTGTTTTTCACCTTCATTCATATGGACTAATATCTATTTTAATCAATACTTATATGCAAAGCCATTGATTAAGTTGGCTTTTTGATCAACTTGAGCTTTTTATTAGCTATATAATTAAGTTGATATAGCTTTCAGTTAGGTCATTGGAATTCTTTTTTGTGTGTATTAAAAAAAATGGTATTTAAAAATGTTGTATTATCTGTTCCATTTACTGTTGTTTTGTGTTGCAACAGCTTATAAAGGCTTATCATCTTGGTATAGATGTTTATCATGCTGCTCTGATTTGTAGGAACAGCAATTCCACACCCAACTCCCACCGGTGATTTTGCTATTGGACCAGAACAACTTGCATCAGTGACTAGGGATCACAATTTCAATGCTTTGCAGGAATATGGAGGGGTAAGTTTGTGCAAATAAAACTTGTTGATTGATATTTATATTTTTGTATTATTTTGCCACTTATTTTAGGTTTTGTATTCTTGTTGTGTTTCTAAATCAGGGTAATGGGTTAGCAGAGATGCTAAAAACAAATTTGGAGAAAGGGATTCAGGGAGGTGATCCTGATTTACTGAAACGGAGGAATGCATTTGGTTCAAACACATATCCTCGGAAAAAAGGAAGGAGTTTTTGGGTAAATTGTTAGATATCTAAGTTTCAATTTGTCTTTCTATTGTGTCTTTTTTTTTTTGGGTTCCCCCTGTCTGTATTCTGTTCTTATTCTTAAAAAACTAACATTTTTTTTCTGTGAATAGAATATTTTTGATCCATTACCTTTACTTTCTTGCACACAGAGGTTTGTTTGGGAAGCTTGCCAAGATCTCACTTTGATAATTTTGGTGGTAGCTGCTGTAGCTTCTCTGGCTTTGGGTATAAAGACAGAGGTGAGCTTTCCTGTGTATGGTTAATTGGATTATGTTTCTTATTTTCATAAGCAAATGTTGCTGAGGTATGGTTATAATGTTTTTCCTATTTTTAAGATGCCAAAAATTGTTTATTAATTATTATTATAATTTAATAATATTACTGTATTAATAAAAGCAACACTTTAAGTAATACAAATGGAATAGACCATCTTTTGTTTCATAAAATATACAATAGGATGATATAATACTGGTCTAGTGTCATATAGATTTATGGATTGAAGTTATTTTCTTCAGTGATGTATTGCCTGGTTTCTAAAATAGAATTTCACAGGGATTGCAGTATACGTTATTATCTAGTTATTAACATGAGCTCTGGTGGCGTAGCTAAAAAATTTTTTATTGGTATCATATGATAGTTAACCATATGCAAAAAGAAATTTGCATTTTATATCATTCAACAAAATTTACATAGATTATAGTATTTTAAGCATAAATGATAAACACCCAAACATTAATTTGACCTTATCGAAACTCCCTTTTATAAATAAAAAATATAAACCATAAAATTAAATGTATCATATGCTATTATTTTAGAAAATAATTTAATAATATTATTTTATAATTGCCAATCTTGATATATAATTGTTTGTTTGTATTTATGTATATAATTGGACAATTATTATGGTATAATACATTTGAATATGTATTTGTATTTGGTTAAATGAAAAAATAGATGAAATTTAATTTATGACCCCTTCTTTTATTTTTTATTTAATTTTAGTGGGTTCAATGTAGAAAAATACCAAAAATTTCCATTAAAATGTATATTTATCTTGTTTTTCAATGTTGATTGGGGGTCAATTGACCCCACTCAAATACACTTGGCTATGCCCCTGATGGCACTTGGGTTTTTGCTGTCTTGACCTCACTTGTTTATATGCCAAAATTTTCTTAAGGCAGGAGCGTTGCATATCATCAAGCTCTTGGTTGTGACCAACAATTATTTTAAGAATGTGCACACTCTATATCTTTTTTTGAAGTAGATTATTTTTCTTTAGTCCTGTTGATTTGTTCTAAGCCTTTAGGCCTTTTAAATAAGAATCTTCAGTTTTCAAGTCCTATGTTGTAATTTTCATTTACAGGGTCCCAAGGAAGGCTGGTATGATGGGGGTAGCATAGCATTCGCAGTTTTGCTTGTTATTGTTGTGACAGGTACTGGATTGATTGTGTAAACTTTTGAAGTGTTTTACAGAATTTATAAAATATACACTTTTTAGTTAATTTTTCCTTTATTGTCTTTAGTTCTATTCATCCTTGTTTTTTAAAGCGCTTCTTGAAATTGTTTATTGAATCAAAATTTGAAATTTTAGCAAAATAAACCTCTCATAGATTAACTCAACATGGTAATGCAGACATATTATGCATTTTTCCTTTTAATTAGTAATTTGTGATTACAAAGCTAGCTTTTAGGTGTGGATTCTTTGTTAAGCATTCTTAAATAATTTTTAGTAGGTAGCTAAGCAAAAATGTTTTCCTTTAGTGCTTGGTGGACATGTGAAATGAGGCTAGAATCTTGGGCTACGTTTTGCTTTTCCAAAACCATGTGGCTATGTGGTGCCAAAGCTACTCAAAGTTAAGGACAGCCTTTCTTGTTCTTGTTTTCCTTTTGGGATAGCGTCCTTTCATTCCTCTGTTACATAAAACCCCTTAAGCTTACTCACATGATTATGCTGACACACATTTTGGCCACCATTATACCCGAAGTACTCTTTTACTCCTAATATACTCACAAGATAGACACTAATTCAATGAAAATGATGGGAGACCATTTGCCATTGCCAAGCCAAAACAGAAAGTCAACCGTATTTTAGTGGCTTGAGTGACTCTAGAAGTCGTCCAAGGGTCTCTAGTTAGACCTAGTGCAAAAATCCCACCATGGCATCTTAGGTTGGTGACATAACAACATTGTGCTCATGAGTATGCTTGATGGTCTAAAGGTTAAAACTGCAATGGTGATGGTCTTAAGGTTAAACTGCAAAGCTGGTCTTAAGATTAAGACTGCAATAGTGTCTCTTTTTATTAGGCCATCACTAGCTAAGCATCACTAATGGCGGAACTTCTTATCCCAGACAATGGCCATTTAGTTCACTCTTGTTTGCGACTATCTCTTCATGCACATATGCAAGCCACTTAAGGTTCACCAGAACCAACTTGTGTTGAAGCCAAGTGCCACCACGAACATAACTCTACAAACTCCTGTAAGCAGACTGCAATGCTCTTCAATAAGAGGGTATTGAAATTGGATTAATGTACATCTGTGATTTTATGCGGCATTGCAGCACCAAGGCGCATTGGAGTTGGTGTGATAGCTAGTCTATGTAAATAGACTTAATAGGAGTAGGATGGTCTTCGTAGTTGTATCATTATTAGAAAGGAAAAGAATAGGTGTTCCTAGCAACCCTACTAGTGACTAAAGTTCTCAGCCATAAGATTTTCCCATTCTCACCAATCCTGGTTTATGCTGTTTATGGTTATTTTTTTTCTTTGTTACATAGGCTTTGAGCGTACACAAGAGGTAACATCTGGTCCGATACACTCTAATCTCCATTTCTTCGTTATATAGTTATAATAATGTTTTTTTTTTTCCCTTTGATACGAGATTTTGGGCCACACAGTGGGAGGTAACCCTCTTTCATCTTATAATTCCCACTGGGTGCTCCTAGGATTCCAATCTGAGACCTCCAAATTGGAGTCTCAAGTTTGAGCTATCAGTATGTCCCCTTGGGGATATGATACTGATAATGATGCAATGAAGAATAAGTATATGGTAACTAGCATTTTCCATAAATTCTATTCCTTTTCAATAAAATTAGTTGCCAAGTGCATTTTATAGTCTATATGATGTCCTAATTTAATATACACAGACATTGAAGTTTGCATTATTTTATGTAGGGGATTATGTTTATGGAGGAAAACAAAAATGCTGTTTTGCTGTATTTACCGTTTCATAAACTTCATCTTGGTTTTGAATTCTTCTTCACTATGTCTTAAATAAGGTTTGATTGAGCATCTAGCCATTAACACAGAAGTAGAGCCTGTAAATTTTTTCCTTTTCATTTCTTATTATCATGAGTTCTAAATCTGCAGCTATCAGTGACTATAAACAATCTCTTCAGTTCCAAAAACTAGATGAGGAGAAGAGAAACATACATTTGGAGGTAGTGTCCACTGGTTAACAGCTGAATTGATTATAAGCAATATACTTTTGGAATTTATGTTTGAATGCAACATGGCAGGTTGTTAGAGGAGGTAGAAGAGTTGAAATTTCAATATATGAAGTTGTTGTTGGTGATGTTGTACCCCTCAATATTGGTGATCAGGTATGTGGCTTTATCTCATTTCTTTTACTTTATTATCTTTTTAATGCATTATCTAATTGGATTTTCTAAATCTGCTCCTTAGGTGCCTGCTGATGGAATTTTGATCTCCGGTCACTCACTTGCAACAGATGAATCTAGCATGACCGGAGAGAGTGATATTGTAACGCTTACAACCTGCAGAGCTATTCAATGAAATTCTTACACTTGCATGCTTTAAAATTGCTGTTACATCTTGTTGCAGGTTCACAAGGATGCCAAGCAACCTTTTTTAATGTCTGGCTGCAAAGTGGCAGATGGGAGTGGCACTATGCTGGTAAATTTTATTCCTGTACCTTCTCTTCATATCATTATTTTGTGCATGCAGCAATCAGCCTGTTTAAGTTCTTAGTGTACACTTTACACACGGGTCTTACAGTTATTAAACTTAATACTTAAATTCTTCTGTTCCTCACAACTAACTGTATTTGTGTATTTAGTGTACATGGGTTCTCTTCATGATTCTTGACTTTCTACATTTTGACCATAAACATTTAGGCTGCATTTTCCACTGTCTTTCTTAGGAACAGATGTATATTTCATGCTGATGAGCTTACTTCTTTTACTGTCCTATATTTGATTATTCACATTGATAACTTGTAGACTATTATGGTTCTATTCTTTTTTTGGATAAACTGAAGTATGCGGTGAAACCTTGTACCTTTTTATAGCTCAAATAAGTATCATATTTGTTTAATTCCCAGGTAACAGGGGTTGGGATTAATACTGAATGGGGTTTGCTCATGGCTAATCTTTCAGAAGACACTGGTGAAGAAACTCCCTTGCAGGTTTCTGTTTCCCCATGACAGTAATTGATGAAATTTTAGGCTTTTCTTGTTATGTTTACCTCAAATTAATTTTGTAGGTGCGTTTGAATGGGGTTGCAACTTTCATTGGTTTTGTTGGACTCAGTGTAGCTTTTGCTGTCTTGGTTGTCCTTTTAGTAAGGTAACTCAGATTTTGGCTTAATGACAATCTCGTGTCTCTCCCATTCTGTTTTTCAGTCCCTTTGCCGTTTCGTCTGATTTTAAAGTTTTGGATTCACTTAGGTATTTCACTGGCCATACCAAAGATGCAACTGGAAGAACACAGTTTGTTGCCGGCAAGACTAGTGCTGGCGATGCTGTAGATGGAGCTATTAAGATTATCACTGTTGCAGTATGTGCTCCTTATCTATCACCTTTGTCCAAATGCATATCTTATGTGGATACTTAAGGGATATTTGTTTTTGTATGTATGACTAATATTGAATGATGTAGGTTACTATTGTTGTTGGGATATTTGTTTTTGTATGTATGACTAATAGTGAATGATGTAGGTTACTATTGTCGTTGTTGCGGTGCCTGAAGGACTTCCGTTAGCTGTCACCTTAACGTAAGTTTGCTCTCTATGTAAAGTATCTGAATTGCCAGAATGATTGTGTTCTCTAGTTGTGTTTTTATTGGATATCTTGATGTTGGGTTGCATCTTTTAATTTGTACCTTATATAGAGGACACATTTATCAGCCATGCTTTTTCTCCCATGTTAATCTGTATCTTTATGTTTTCCCTTAGTTTTTTAGTTAAGTTGATTGTGGTAATGCTTCATGGTACTCTTGTTGTACGAATGCCAAATATCTCTTCTTGCATCTCGGCAGATGCTGTTGTTTATTACATGTAATTGTGCAAATAATTTATTAAAAAAATTTAATTTAGTCTTGATACATAATTCTGATTCATCTTTTCCATAGTTGCTTTTTCATATAATAGTTGTGTTATTTGATTATGATGCAGCCTTGCTTACTCGATGAAGAAAATGATGGCAGATAAAGCTCTGGTATGTATGATGAATATTTTTATGCATCTTTTAGACATTGAAGTAAAATTGTTTCATGGGAATAGATGTGTTTCATGCAGCTTAATAGAAGTTGAAATGCAGGTGCGCAGACTTTCTGCTTGTGAGACCATGGGTTCTGCCACAACTATTTGCAGTGACAAGACTGGAACCTTGACTTTGAATCAGGCAAGTTAAAATGTGTTTTCTTTCAGATTTTAGCTGAACTGCTTTAATAATATGAGAACATAATTCATTTTGAATATTTCCTGCTGTTTTCATGAAAAAAATGCTTATATATATAAGATATTAATAAATTTTAATAATATGTATAATGTTGGCATGTAGGATTGTAAACCCATTTGCTTATGATGTGGTGTGAAAAAAGAAAATAGTACTCTTTAGGTAGTTTACTAGCATAGCACCGATGCAGTGAGGGAGTAAGATATTGTTGGGAGAGGATATATAAATTATTATTTTTAAAAATAAAAAAATTAGAATAATGATGGAGAGATAATTAATATAAAATTATATTGATTTCTTAAGTGAACATGATGATATAAAAAGTTGCTTTTGGTTATTGGAAGCAATTAGAAGTCAATTAACAAAATTAACTTGAGCTACAGTAGAAAGATACAATTAAATTGATGATTGAAAGATTTCAAGTTTTGAACTTTTTAAACTATTAGTTAACAAATTGCACTTATTAAGGCATCCGTTTGTCTCAATTTATATAAACCATTCAATTTTTTGTTCCTAATTTTAAATTATTGAACAATTGTTTCACTCATAATGGTATCAAGTTACTTAAATTTACCAATGATGATTAAAAAATTATTATAATTTGTAATTTAAACTTTCAGATCAACTTTTTAATTGCGTATCAATTAAACTTTTGACAATATGATCAATTATGTTATTGAGCATGTTCTAATTCCAAGATGGCACCAAATTCTCTCCCATAATAATAATAAATATATCAATAAAATAAAATAATAATAAACTAACTTCATTTGCTGGGTTTTGTGCTTGAAGTGAAAGGAGAATTAAAAAGTTTTACAACTTAAAGAAATTAATTATAGAAAGTTTAAGCCAAAAATCTAAAAGATTGCTGAGCAGACAGATTTAAGGGGTGGCATTGGGCTGGGATAGAAAGTTAGGGAAAGAGCCACAATAAGAACTCTCATTAAGTTTATTGTACAGATGACTGTGGTTGAGGGTTTTGTTGGTGGGAGAAAAATTGATCCTCCATACAGCAGCTCAGAATTACCAGATACACTTACCTCATTACTTATTGAAGGCGTTGCAATGAATGCGAATGGCTCTGTCTTTACCCCAGAGGCATGTCTCAATAACTCATTTTTTTCTGAATTATATTTATTTAGCAGTCTTTAGTAAAATGCCTTCTGTTATTAGTTATCACAATTTTTGCTGGCTTTTTTAGGGAGGTGGAGATGTAGAGGTTTCTGGATCACCAACAGAAAAAGCAATTCTTAATTGGGCAATCAAGGTTACATATCTAACCTCATGTTATCTCCTCATCACTGCTTATTTCTAATTTGAATAATTTTAATCTTTAGTCTTTGAATCTTGTAGCTTGGTATGAATTTTGATGCTGTTAGGTCGGGCTCTTCAATTGTTCATGTGTTCCCTTTCAACTCAGAGAAAAAACGAGGCGGTGTTGCAATACAATTGGTAGTGTCACTATATTTTTAACTTTTATGAGCAATTTTACCTTAGTTGCATGTATTTCAGGTAGCGGTCAGCTGCATTTTTAATCTCTTTTTGTGCTTGCTTTCAAGGGAGGATAAAATTAGAATTTCGGTGGTATATGTCATTTTCGTTTTTAAAGGGTATTTGTTATATGCCTTTAGTGTGTGTTTGGTGCATAATATTATAATAGGATATGATAAGATGATATTGTATATTGGATTAGAGTAAATAATGTCATCATATCTTGTGTTTGATGTATCCTAGGTCAAAATTTTCTTTACTTAGAGTTTATGCAGGCTAAATGCTCAATTAAGGATATAACGTTTGTGTTATTTTCAATTAAGGATCTCAACTTTAATTTGATTCAATATAGAATGTAACCTTATCAAATTTTCAAATAAGGTATTCCGTTATGGCTGTGGTTTACATGCAAAAAAAAGGTGAACCACTGTTCTGCAAGATAATGAACAGTAAAAATAGCCAAAAACACTACCTTCTCCAGCTTCTCCTCTCAAGAAAACTCTGCCTTCTTAATGTTCTTTCTAACCTAAGAACAAACACTTGGAAATCAACCTCTTCATCGATCTTGTCGCCAATGACCGCCATCGGTCTTTGTCCTTCACTAACAACATAGCTTTTTCGTGACTGAAACCAGGATCTCTGATTCAACCCCTCTTTTGTGTTTCTCTCTCTAAATCTCCAAATCAGAACCCAACTACAACCCAGAAATTGAAGAGCTCAAGAATCATGAAATCTCACCGGCAGAATCCGATGCCTTCCTTTGTCGATCTTGTCGCCAATGACCACAGTCGGTCTTCATCATCAGTAGCATAGCTTCTTCGTGACTGAAACCAGAATCTCTGGTTCAACCCTTATTCTCTGTTCTTCTTTCTCTAAATTCCCAAATCAGAACTCAACTACAACCCATAAAATGAAGAGCTTAAGAATTATGAAATCTCACCTCCAGAATCTGGTGCCATTCGCCGTTTCACTATGCTGCCAATTGATCAGCACCTCCTCCTTTTTCTAATTCTGTTTTAAAACCCAAAAATTTCCAAAAAGAAATCAAACCCAAAAAACCCTCTTGCTGAAAAATTCTCAAAAAGAATCAAACCCAGAAAAACCCTTTTTGATGAATTCTAGAATCTTGCTGCTGTGGTTGCTTTGTGGAGTTCTTGTTGGATCAATTACTCATTTAAGGCTAGTTGCTGATTGCTAATCTTGCTGATGAATTTGCTTTATCGATTGCCTAACAAAAAAATTTCTTTAACCCAAAAAACTTCTCAAAACAATTGATTTATTGTTTATTTTTTTGCCCCTTAAAAGATTCAAAAACTTTGCCCAATTTTCTTGCTTTTCAGCGGCCTTTGATTGTGAATTGCTACCATCTGGGCTGTCTTGCTTGATTGTTCAAGGCTAATTGTTGTGTTTAATTTTGCTCTGTGCCTCCCTATTGATTATCATTTGTTACTGTGCTCAACTTTTGTTTTTTTTCGTTGGAATTAATGGTTTTAATGAAAATGTTAATGGAAAGTAGACTTAATGGCGTTTATAAGCCACAGCCATAACTTAGTCCTTATTTGAACAAATTCGAAAACATTGTATCCCACATTGAACCAAATTAAAGCTGAGATCTTTAATTGAGCAACCATTCAAACTTTTAATCCCAAAATGAGCATTTAGCCAGTTTTTACAATTTAAATTATTGATTTAACTTTTAAGGGTATGACAAAATATGTAAGTTCAATCCTATGGATTAAAAATAATCCTCTCCATTTTGGGAGGATTGAATCATCTTCAATTGAATCATCCTATGTCAAGAGGATGATTAATCCTTCTTGCAATCCTATCTCTTTCTTTATATACAAACCAAAGATGGTATAGGAGGATTATCATTTTATCCTATCCATCATCTTATGCAGAAAACATGGCCTTAAGCAGCTGGTTTGATTTAGGTGGCTATTCTATTTGATGTCAGTCAATACAAACTACTTTTGATTTTTAGTATAGTCCAATCTATAGTGAACATTTAGTTGGATTCTCCACTAGTCAAATTTAACTTGAATTAAATTTAAACAAGATACATGAGTTCTTAGCTGATGATGATAGATGATGTTAATGTTGAACTTATTGCGATGAAAATGATAATGATAGTGATAGGAGGATCTATGGCCGCAGCAGCTGAAATAATAATTCCATTTTCATCTTAAAAGACTTTTCCAAAAACTTAGCCTTCAGATTAAATTGGTGTAGAACAACACTGATTAAGTATTCCTTCTAGATTTTTTTTTCTTGTTGTAGATCAATGTATCATATGACTTAGAACAACATCAATCATGTAAGGACTGCAACCGAATCTAAAAATGTCTTGCCTTGAAAGATAATTGTGAATACTTTGAGAAATATTTTGTGTTTTTGTATTCCGAATAATTTGTTCCTTTTAATCCAATTGAACTGCTTTTCGTCTGATTCTACCATTTTCTTTGATATTTTGTCTCCCAGCCGGATTCTAATGTTCGTATTCACTGGAAAGGGGCTGCTGAAATAGTGTTAGCTGCATGCTCTTGGTTCCTCGACACTAATGACAGTATTGTAGCAATGGATGAGGAAAAGGTTTGAGATACTAATTGCCTCTTGAGATGAACAGTGAACTCTTGAAAATAGAAATTAATGTTTTCATTGTCCTTTTTTCTTGGTGACTGCAGTCTGTTATTTTATTTGATTAAATTTTTATATTTGAACCGTGCTTGTAATTTGATGTTGTTGGTATTGTGGTTGCTAACATTTTAAACAATTTCTATTTGTTGAAATTCGCTTGGTTTTCAGATGGCCTTTTTTGAAATGGCAATTGAAACTATGGCTGCTGGTAGTTTGCGTTGTGTTGCTATTGCATACAGATCATGTGAAAGTGAAGAGGTTCCAACTAATGAAGAACAGCTTGCTCAATGGGCTTTACCTGAGGATGACCTTGTTTTACTGGCTATTGTTGGTCTAAAGGTATCTATCCCGGAAAAGTTATGTAGGTTTGATACAAACTATGCATGTCTTCATCTGTGTTTGTATTTTATTTATCATTTTGCATATGGGGAAAGAGCTTAGTCCTGGATCCTTATCGTTTGAGGTAATTTATGTTTGCTTTTATGCTCATATATGGAGGATGGATTGGACAATTTGATAGAATCACCAACACCACCTTCTCATTCTGTACTGATAAATTTTGTTGAAATGATTGTTCACTGCCTTCTCTCATTCTGTTCTGAATCTTTGTTTTCTGTAGCTCATTTTTCTTTCATCTCTAATTAAGAAATAGCTTGCCTTATCATGTATGCCAATTTTGCCTTTCTGAGAAAAATCTAAATTCATTAAGTAATCAATGAAGTCCATATGCTATAGATTGTGATCTTTACTACTTTCTGCAGTTTTTTTTTTTCTTCTTCATTTAGAGAATGTCATTTTTTGTTCTCCATTTATAGTATTTATTTTCATCCCCTAACCCTACTCATCCTTAAAAATGTAAATTTATGTCTTGCAGTTAATGAAGTTCTATCTTGAACTGTGCGTTTAGTGAAGTTCTATCTTGAACTGTGTGTGATTGCAAAATGCTAAAAGTTGAAAGAAAATTTTGAAGATAGCAATGAGACCAACAATGCATTACGAATTTTAATGTTGAGTTGCTAAGTATTAACATACCCAAAAACTGAGCATAGTTAAGAAGATGCTATGATATATGTTGGTTCAGAAGATGCTATGATATATGTTTGGATATACAAATGAAGATATAGTTAGGAATGATTGTACAAGGTAGAAAATCGATATCACATCCACTGCTGTCAAAATTAGGAAAACACGTCATTTGGTTTGGACCTGCAAAAACGAGATTACAGAATCACATGAGAAGATGCTACTTAGATGTGGATACCCATGTTAATGGAAAGAGAGGAAGAACAAAGAGGATATGGTTGGAAACTATAAAAAATGACTTCAATTTATTCATGCTACTGAGGATATTTCTGAGTTGAGCTGGCTTAATATGATCCATTTAGCCAAACTTGCATATTGGGAAAGGCTTAGTTTTTTATTTGTTGTGGACTTGTTGTTTGAAGTTTCGTAAAGCAGATATTACGAAAACTATGTTTTCTTTTGTTCATCATTCCTGTTTGATTATGAATGTAGTTTTAGTTTGATTTGTTTTATGCTCTTTAATTACATTGAGAATTTTTGCAGGATCCTTGTCGGCCAGGTGTCAAAGATTCAGTGCAGTTATGCCAAAATGCTGGTGTAAAGGTATAATTATTTATCTACTATAACTAATATCTGTTAAAACGATGATAATGCTTGTTTTTATGTTTTTTAAATTACAAATATAGAGTTTGATTGCAATTACGAATGTCCTGTTGTGGATTGTGTATCTTCCCTTCTTTTTTCTTGTCTTTTTTAATATTTGAAATCAGTATATGCTGCTTTTAAATTCCTTTTTTTTTTTTTTGGTAGTCAGTCGTGTCATTCCTGCCAAAGCTCAACCCCGCTTGGAAGATTTCATTGTTATGAAATTGTTTTACTTTTGATTCCTGTGTTCATTTCTGTGAATGCTTAACCTGCCTCTACTCTAGTCCAATTCCATAAAATCCCCCCTAACTTCAATGTTATCAAATAACTTTTCCCCCTAACTTCTGCAAATCCAATCCCGCAAAATTGTAGTAAGAGCAAGAAATATTTCATGACCAATTCTTTTGCTCTTTATTCTTTGCTTTTTAAGTTTGAATTGTTCATTTAATATTGGCTTTTCTACTTCATTTTTATCTGCTTTCATTCCACTTGAATTAGGAAGGAGCAAAAATCTTTGTATGCCACTGCTAGCAGACTTTCTAAAGGCTTTAGGGGTTTTTTGGGATAGTTACATACTAGTTCCTACTCCCTAAATGCTTCTGAATTTTAGTTTGACTTAAAACTTTTAATTAATTGAAGATTGGTCTATGAATAATTTAAAAGTTACAACAGTGTATGTTTCTCTTAATTATTAGAACTTAAATCTTGTTAGTATGGGTCGTGATTTCTCTTGGACATTATATGTGGGTTTATGTGGAATCTTTAGTTAATTTTTAAGATATCTCCCCACCTTCAATGGGATATGATTATCATACAAAAATATTGTCTCATAGGATTCAGGCTTTTTTTTTTTTTTGAAAAAAAATGTTGTACCTTTTCTTTGTTTTGTTTTGCTTGTCACCTTACTCACATGATACCTATTGGTTTTTCTTGTGGTCTCCTTTCATCTTTAAAGCAGATATGATGTTGGAGGATGATTATATTTGTTAATATGATTAATTTAGCTGATTTTCAATGTGTGCCATAGGTACGCATGGTCACTGGTGACAATGTTAAAACAGCAAAGGCAATAGCATTAGAGTGTGGGATACTACACTCAGATGTGGATGCTACTGAGCCTAATCTCATTGAAGGGAAAGTTTTCCGTGCACTATCTGATTTGCAAAGGGAAGAAGTTGCTGAGAAAATATCTGTATGCTCTGGTACTCTATTCATTTTCTGAATTTTCCTTGAGGTTAATAGAAAATTTAAATTAATTGGGGTGTTTATGCATAGGTGATGGGCCGTTCATCACCCAACGATAAACTTCTGCTTGTGCAAGCATTGAGAAAGAGGGGACATGTTGTTGCTGTAACTGGCGATGGCACCAATGATGCTCCTGCTCTACATGAGGTCTGACAATGTCTTTCTTTTTCTGGTTATCAGGATAAAGCTACTATCAACTGAAATCTTTAAAACACTGTTTTGTTAGTACATCATTCCTGAATTTTCTTATACATTTTTTTTGAAAAGAGAATCAAAATTTCCTTTCAAAATGTAAGACAATTTAAATTGAAAATTTGTAGGTCAATACATTCTACTTGGACTGCATTGGTGAATTGTTTAAATTTTTAATTACTAAAAGTGGTTACATCAGCCTTATTTGCCTTCAATGATTATTGCTTTGTGGAAAATTACTTTGTAAGAGTGATTGGTCAATAAATGCAGCTCTATGAACCTGTGATTCAGAGTGTTGCTAAGAAATTTAAGTAGATTGAATTTATTGGCTTAAGTTAGAAAATCATTGCTCCTAATTACCCCTTTCAAGAATATTTTATGCAATGAATTTAATTGGTAAAGGCTGGACGATCTTAAATATCAAACATAGTTACAAATGATTATCATTAGGAGGCTGAATTTTAAGTCTGAATTTTAGGGCTGAATTTAAGTCTTTCGACTACAGGCCGACATTGGTCTTGCAATGGGTATTCAAGGGACAGAAGTTGCAAAAGAGAATTCAGATATCATCATTTTGGATGACAATTTTGCTTCAGTTGTAAAGGTATATATTCCATTTTTTCCCATTATATTACTTTATGATCATCATTAAAAGTTTCTTTTCTGTGATCAACCTTTTCATTCATTGAACATCTTATGAATTTAGGTTGTCCGATGGGGTAGATCTGTCTATGCAAATATCCAAAAGTTCATCCAGTTTCAACTTACAGTTAATGTTGCAGCTCTTGTTATAAATGTTGTAGCTGCAGTTTCGTCTGGTGATGTTCCATTGAATGCCGTCCAGGTTTGTTCACTTTCTGCGTTTATATGTGTGTATGTATATGTCAACTCTGTCGAATGGATATGAGTACTCTATTTTACTATCTCTGTGCAGCTTCTATGGGTTAATCTTATCATGGATACTCTTGGAGCATTGGCATTAGCTACTGAACCACCAACAAACCACCTGATGCATCGGCCCCCTGTTGGTCGAAGGTATGAGATTTTTATTAATCTAGAATTTTAACCTTACATTAGCAGGGACCCAGGGCTATGCCTGGGCAAATCTTGTCTTGAGGGTTGGAATAAAGCATTTCTCTGATTGTCATAATTTTGTCTATAGTTGATTTTTTTGGGAGTTTTTATTTTTCTTAAACCCAAAAGAACTGGTTAGTAAAAACTTAAATTGGCTGGCAATTGTTAGTCCTCATTAGGAGGGTTAAGGTGCAAGATCTGAATCCTATCTCTTCTATTGGACTTCCTCGTATGTGCCACAAAATGTAAAACTGGTAGTAACCTTTCTAATTCTTGTCTGAATTTCCAACATCTGACTTCAGATGGTATATATACTATATAATATTTAATATTAAGATACAACGGTTCACTGACTTGAGTGCTATTCCATATCCCAACAGTTTCTATTGTAATATGGTTTTGGTTTTAAAATTCGTTTTTTAAATCCTTTTTCTTACAATTGCATTCTTTTAATAGTATTTAAAAAATTTGTTTGAATTAGTAAAAGTTCATGGCAGTCCTCAATGCCATCCCTCTAAGTTCAATTTGAAACATTTGGTCCCTATAATTCTACCTTAGGTGCAATTAAGGACCATTAGCACTGTCACTTATTGTTGTTAACTACATGATGTGGCACTTACATTGTATCGTGGTTTTTTATTTGACATGGCAACGATGTGACATGTATATACTCCAAATAGTGAATATTTTTCTAATGTAAAAATTATGTTGCGAATTTTAATTTTAAAATATTTTTATTTTTTGCTCAATCTTTTTCTTTTTCTATTTATATGTGTTTCTTTTTGTTTTGACTTTTTACATTTAAAAAATTGAAAAAGAATCTAATAAAATTACAACATCTATATAACGTAAAAATCAATTTTAAGCAAAAAAAAAAGAATTGTCTATATATTCAAATATTGAAATATTATTGTAGATATTTTTAATATTTAATGAAAAATAAAATAAAAATCGATTTAAATGCTACTAAATTTGCAGTTATAGAAAAATGTTTTAGATGATAATTTATGTTACACAAATTTCCAAAAAATTGCCTAGGCTTCCTTTTCTTTTCTTTCAAATTGATCTCCAATCTTGTTGTTTTAGGGTGTTTAAAAATAATGTTTATTTTCCCATATTTTCTAATATTACCCATCATTGAATTAATAACTTGCTTATAATAAAATCATTTCTCTTCTAACAAGGTATAGCTTCATTATATTTGTTTGTTGTGGTGGACCACCCTCTAGCTTTTATGGAATTTATGGGGTAAAATCCAAATGTAGGAGGCAAAGTACCTCATTTAAATTCATTAAGAAGTGGACATTCAATTTGAAATGAAGATTAATACCTTATACGCTATGTCATTGCCATGTTGGATAAAAGACCTGGGTATAACATTGCTGAGTTAGCGTTTTTTAATAACAAATGGAAATGATATCAACGATGTGCCTTAGTTGCATACCCAAGTTAGCATTGTTTAATGGCAAAAGGAAATGGTATTAATGATATGCTTTAGTTGCATACCTGAGTTAGTGTTGTCTATGGAAAAAGGAAATAGTGTACATGATATGCCTTAATTGCATACAGGCGTTAACTATGTTGAATTTAAAGTAGAGAGACTGTAATGGACATTTTGACCTAGTTTTACTATCTTAATTTTTTTAAATTTTGATGGGTTCCTATAAACACTATGCCTATATTCAAGGTATGGTTTGCTTCAAAAATTGTTTGTGGTCCTTCACCAAACAGATTGCATAGGAAAAGCCTGCCCCTTTCCCTTATCTTTTTTTTTTTTTTTTCTTTTTCTAAATAATAGTTATGTTAATGTGATGATTGTGTTTCAGGGAACCTCTTATAACTAATATCATGTGGAGGAACTTGCTTATACAGGTACATTTTATGTATGCAGACCTATTTGTTATTTTCTGATTGTTACAGATTTTGGTAATTATTTTGATTGCCTAGTTGCCCTCCCAAAACCCAAAATACCCTCTTTTTCTCCTGGTTAATGTGGCTCATGCCAAAAAAAAAAAAAATTGGTGATCTTTCTAAGTTGCTATTATAAATTGTCCATGGAAATTTCAGGCTGTATATCAAGTGAGTGTTCTGCTTGTTCTCAATTTTCAAGGCAAGAAGATATTGCATCTGGATCATAAGAGTAGTGAACATGCTAACAAAGTGAAGAATACATTGATATTCAATGCATTTGTCCTGTGTCAAGTAAGTCATAACTACTCAAACAAGCAGTTAATAGAATTTGCTGCAGTTGGATTGAATATTCTATATCTGGTTATTACCTCTTTTAAGCACTTTCTAATTGTTTTTTTTTTTTTCCTTTTTTCTTTGGAGCAAGGTTATGTGTTCTTTGCTTGTGCAAATTGTTTTGCTGACCCAGTCATAGTTAAAAAATGATATTATCCTGATTGAATGATGTAATGCTACTTAGGGGGCTTTTGGTTGTTTCATTCTGCTAGATCTAGTGAGGCCTGCGAAAAATATCTGGACCATTGAATCAACAACATAGTATAGCATGCACTCCCAATTTCATTCACCCTAGCTGAAAAAGAACAACAGTTCCAATCCAAATTTTAAAGCTTGTATTTCTACAAAAGCAATCCGGAAGAAAACAGAATTTAAGGCTTAGTCCTTATAAACTGGGAAATTTTGCAAATAAAAAATCAGTCCGGTATACACTCCACTCATTCTTTACAAGGCTGGGGAGGATGGTAGTTAGGACCAGAGGGGGCCATGCCTCGTCCCTACCCCCACCCTCCCCCCACCCGCAGACACTCTTAGATTGGAAAGTCTAATGTTTTATATTATTTAAACATTGGCTCCATAACTGACTGGTGTAATGTCCTTTTTCCTCTTGGCATTCTTCTCCTTTTGTCTTTTAATGGAGCATAAATTAGTAACTTGAATGTCCAAATAACTATGATGGGTTAATGGAATATAACTTATATCGATTGCAGATCTTTAATGAGTTCAATGCTCGGAAGCCAGATGAAATGAACATTTTCAAAGGACTAGGTCGAAACTATCTCTTTATTGGAATAGTGGCAATAACTTTAATACTTCAGGTGAGATTTGTTAGCAATACATCTGATTGGTATCTATTTTATAGAATTTTTCTTGGTGGTACATACTGTTTCTTGTTGTACAGGTGGTCATTGTCGAGTTTCTTGGAAAGTTTGCTAAAACTGTGCAGCTTAACTGGGAACTGTGGCTAATTTCAATTGCTATTGGTTTTGTCAGGTTTGTAGCTTTTTCAATGACAGATTCCAAGTTAAAAGTTATATCTTTTTCTTTTTCCATGCTTTGTTAATGTCTTCACAGTTCATCATCTTATTATTGTTTTTTTTTTTAAATTAGTTGGCCCCTTGCATTCCTTGGGAAGCTGATACCTGTTCCAAAAACTCCCGTCAGCCAGATCTTTTCAAGAAAGTTTTGCCGCCGAAGAAATAGAAGTAAGAATCTTCATGTTTGTCTCTACTTGTTTAGGATGACAATTTGTCCACATACTACGTGTTTGTTTATTTTTTTCACTCCATCTTTCAGGCAGTCGACAGAAAGCATGAAGGCTCACATCTTTAAGACATTGCCACTAACCTGTTTATAAGTTTACTGATTTACTTGCCATTTTCGCCTCCTTTTCGGATGACAACATATCACAAATCTCGATATAGGGAAAGAGCTTGAAATGTTTTGTATGCCTTCTAAACAATTGACTTGAATTATGTTTTACACAAATCATTATTAGTAGTTAAGAGTCGGGGATTCTATATCGTTACTCAGTGTCTATATATCATTTTAAAATGTGTTAATGGTTTTTCTTCTGGAGGTTCTATATCATGGGTTGGAGCTACTAAAAAAAATAAACGCTTATTCCCCACCCACAATGTTTGGGATAAAATAGATGTAAATTTTCAAGTGCAAATAAATTCACAATTTATTATTTTTGTTAAATTAAAAAATAAACCCAAATTTATGTAATTGTGTATAATATCATTAAAGAAAAATAATTATAGTTAATATTTTAGTATATGTAAATTTTTTTATAAAAGATGTGTAATATATAGTGCAGGTGGATTGTTGAGTTGGTATTTTGATGTAAAAAGTTAAAAATTGTGGGCTGACGAGAAAAGATTATATTAAAAAGGAAAGTATTGATTTAATGACTTAGAAGGGAAAAAAAAAGGGATTCGAAATAATGAAAGAGTAACAAATAAAGGGATTGGTGATCCGAGTAAAGGATTTTTTATTTTCGTTCTTTTGATTGTGAAAAAGAGAAAAATTTTAAAAATATTCTTAATAAGAAAAGAAAAATTTGATATAAATTTTTATTTGAAAAAAAAATTGATTGTAAAATTGAGAGAAAAATTGTAAAAAAAATTTTAATTAAAAAAAAGGATAAATTGTGCAATAGAATAAAGGGTTTTTTTTTTTTTTTTTTTGGTTTCATCATGAAGCAAGGTGGTAGAGAATATTTCGATTAAGATTTTTGAATAAAAGATTAGGTTAATTTAAGATTAAGATTTTTGAATAAAAAATTAGGTTAATTTAAGATTTTTTTGAGAGAATGTTTGATGATTTATGATTATTTTGAGTGAAGTTTTTGTGATTTAAGATTTTTTTTTTTTTGAAAAAAGGTTCATTTGATTAAAGTGTTTTGAAAAAAACTTACTTGATTTAAAAATTTTAAAAATTGGATTGTGTTGATTTAAGGATTTTGAGAGATTTTATTTCGTTAATTTAGAAGTTTTAGTAATTAGCTTCAGTTGATTTGAGACTTTTAAATGTTGGTTTTAGTTGATTTAAAGGTTTTTTTGAAGATTGGATTCAATTTATTTAAACATTTTGTAAAAAGAGTTTTATGGAATCGAAATTTGGAGGAAAGGAATTTTTGGAAACTCATATAAAAGTAAAGGCTTTTTGGTTTTGTATTTTTCTTATTGTTTTTATAGTAATTGATGTTACAAAGTCATTTATTTTAGTTTAATTTTATATTAAGAAAATTTTTTATGTGTTATACTAGTTTTATGTAATTGTTGTTACTTTTTGTTTGATTGTTGGTGCATTTTTTTGACTAGATTTATATGTTATTGCTTTAGTTTTATGCTGTGGTTGAGATTGATGGGCCATATGTTGTTAATTGGTCCTATATGTTGTTGCTTAGATTTTAGGTTGTTGATACTATTAAGTCATATTTTGGTGTTATATGTTTTTGTTTGGTTTTATATGTTGTTGTCTAATCTCATATATTGTTGAATAGTTTCATTATCACTTATACTACTTTACTATTTTTTTTAGTTTGGTTTAACTTATTAACTTATGTTGGCTTTTTTTGATAACATGCGAAGGATTTCAATTTAAGAATCTACTATGGAGGATTTTTGTAAGTGATCCTAACTTAAAATATATCAATTATGAGGTTGATGATGTCAAATATGATCTTGATAAAATATGCTATTTTCATATGGTTAAATTGATATAGATGAGAAATTATGTAAATGCAGGTAAGATTTTTTTTAAGGCCTTTGATGATGACATGAATAATGAATTAAAGTTGTTAAAGGATATGATAGTTCAACAATTGATTTAATTATTATATGTTTACAATAGGGAGGTTGTGAAATTATGTGAAACATGAGGTGGATGAACCTAGACTTGAATCAAATATAGTAAGGGTAGAGATTGGTGAGCCCAATAATAGATTGATAAAACTTGAGGTATTAAAAAGATCGATAGTGATGATGCTAATGTGGCAAAGGTTGGTTGTGATGATGTTGGTGTTGGAAAGAATGGTGGTGGTGATGTCGATGTTGTAATGCATGGTGGTAGTGATGCTGATGTTAGAGATAATGATAGTGAAGGCGATGGTCATGAGGTTGCCAGGTTTGATGACAATGACATGTTATATGACTTTCTATGTTTATTAGTTGATAATTATGAGGTTAGAGAAGTAAGGAAGAATGTCAGGCAATGTTGATATTATAATGCAATGATGTAAGAAGAATAAAGGGACAGAAGAAATTATAATAACGTAAGACCTTGTAATGATAGCCAAACAATTGAAGTAAGATCTAGTAGTGAGAAAAAGAAAAAGCAAAAGAGGCCAATTTACTTTCTAATGCTGAAAGTGATCATAGCATTGATGGATTTATGAGGGAGTATCCTAAGGATTTTGAGCCTTTTACTTGTGAATTTGAGAAAGATGATGATAATGAGGAAGTTGAAACATTGTCAAGGAAGACTAGTTTTCCTTTCTATGATCTTAAGTCCCTTATTCTTGATTTTGAATTAGGTCTGCTATTTGAAGTTAGTATTCAGTTTAAAAAAGTCATGGTGTATTATACTGTTCACACTAATAGGGATATTTTGTTCATTAAGAATGAGCTTAAAAGAGTGAGGGTTTTGTGTGCTAGTAAATGCTCTTTTCAATGTTTTGCTATTTATGAAGATAGGTTAAGATGTTTTCAAGTGAAGACATTGTGTAATATGCATAGATGTAATTATAAGAACAAAATACAATTAATGAGTGTAAATTGGTTGTCTAAAAAATCTGAAGATAAAATAAGGAAAGAACCATATTTGAAGCATAGTGAGTTGTAAGCTCATATTAAATCAAAGTTCAAATTGTTTGCATTTATTGACAAGGTTAAAAGGGCAAAGCTGATGATATTAACTGGTATTCAAGAGGCATTCACCAAGTTCTCTAAACTGATAGCTTATGTTGTTTAGTGCCTTAACCAAAATCTTGGTGTCACTACTATGATAAAAGTAGAAGATTATTTCCACTTTTTCGTCATATTTTTAGAGGGTTTATTTCTATTTTGCTTCTTTCAAGGAATGATTAAAACAGAGTGTGGGAAAATAATAGGTTTAGATAGTTGTTTTCTTAAAGGTTCAGTAATAAGGGAGATATTAACTATTGTAGATAAGGATGAAAACAATTAAATGTATCATGTTGCTTGGGTTGTGGTAGAGAATGAGAATTTTGATTCATGGATATGATCTTTCGATCTTTTCAAAGCTAATCTCAACATAACTTATAGTGTATCTTAGACTATTATTAGTGATTAACATAAGGTATGATTTTTATGATTTTTTTTCTTAATTGGATTTATATTTGAAGTCCATTAACTATAATTATTTTTCACTAATTATGTTATCTTTATTGTTTTGTAAGACTTATAAATGTAATAGAAGAAATGTTCCCCAATGCTGAGTATATATTAGGCCTATACATGCAAACTAGAATAAAAGCCATCAAGGAAACAGAATGAAGAATCATTTCTGGATATGTGCAAATGCAACAACTGAAAGACAATTTGAATCTATGTTAGAGATGTTACACAAAAAAGATAATTTTGGCTCAGCAAAGGATGACTTATTGAAATATCCCTCAAGATATTGGTGTAAAGTTTTCTTCAAAACAGATGTTAAGTGTGATGTTTGTTATAACAACTTATACGAGACATTTAAGGGTTACACTGGTCAAAGCTAGACATAAGCCCATTATTAGCATGATTGAGGAGATTAAAGTGGCTATGATGACAAGAACAAGTGAAAAAGAGAAAGTTTGTGGCAAAATGGGTAGGGAATCATGATCTATTGGTCACGAAAAAATTGATCAAGAATTTGACAAAAGCAACTCAATTGCAAGCTGTTTTCAATGGTAGTGATGGATATCAAGTTAAGTGTGCTAGCACTACAAGAAAATAGGATTATGGTGGTACTTTTTTAGCGGTGTTTTATTAATTAACATTGTCAAGTTTCCTTTTTTTGAAAAGTTAATGGTGCCTATATTGCAATTGCCACTAAATCTTTATTTAGTGGTGTTTGTATTTAAAAATGCCACTAATTTATAAATTTAACGTTGTTTATATTATAAAACATCGCAAACTAATTTTTAAAATTTAATAAAATAAAATCTTTAAAAATGGGATGTAGTTTTTAATATTATTTAGTGGCGTTTATTTATACAAATGCTACTAAATATTTTAACTTTAGTGATGTTTTTCATAACAAACACTGCTAGGTTATTTAAGAAAACATAAAACGCATAATTTTATGATTATCTAGTGGTTTATTAGTATAAACGTTACTATTTCAAAAACTTTAGTCTAATTCATCCCATAAATTAAGTTAAGACCCAACCCTTTTTCTACCAAGAACTTTTTGTAATTCATCCCCTTTCTTTAGTGAAACCCATACCCTTTTTCTACCCAACTTGCATCTCTCACTCTCGATTGAAGCTTAATCTTGCATTTTTTTCCCTAAATTAAGTCACGATTCAACCATTTCTACCTAGAACTCTCTGTAATTCATCCCCTTTCTCTCGTGAAACCCTTAACCCCCTTTCTACATAGCTTTCACGTCTCACTTTCACTCTCGATTGAAGCTTTATCTTGCATTTTATTTCCTTTCTCATTCGACACTGAAGCTTAATTTTGCATTCTAAGTCAGTGGGCTTTAATCGTATAAAATTTAATTGCATTTTTTTTTGTTATCAAAGTTTCGACCTACTAGACAAAGTTTTCTATATTACTTTATGATTTATTTTTTTGTGTAATGCAATTATTAATATCTAATACCAAGCTTTAGTTTTTGTTTAATCTACAAGAGTTTGTATTAGTTTCAAGGCTACTACCATTGTTGCTTTAGTCAACATTTTATCTATAGTAAGTTAGAATTGACCTTACTCTCATCGATTTATTTTTTGAATAAATGAAACTGATTGATCCAAATTTATATAATTTTGAATCCTTAAAAGGAATTTTTGTTTTCATCCAAAAATAGAAGTAGGGTAATTGTCTTGAATTCAAGTGTCTATTTGGTCAATACATCTTTTTTCCTATAACTCTTACCATTGAATTATGGGGTCTGGAGTTATTTGCTTGAACAAATAACTCAATCTAACTTAATCAACTTGGTTCTTCTTTATATAATGGTTATGG